CTCCAGTTTGATTTGAGCCAGTTCACGTTCGAGTTGGAAACACTAAAAATGAACACATCTAAAACCTTCTAAATCTGTAGAAAAAAGCCAATTTAATATTTTCAGTAATCTTGCTTACCTTCCTAAGCAAACCAGTCTTCTCATCTCGAAGACCGTCAATTGTTCGGCTCATATTGTCCGTCTGTTTTTGACAACCGGCCAACTGCGCTCGAAGTGCATTCTCTCCTTTTTCTGAAGCGCTTAGACGAGAACGCAAATGTTCCAACTCTTCTTTCCATGCACGTTCTTTTTCTTGATAGACCTAGAATTCAAAATTAAAAATTGTGCTTTTACGTTGAGGTTTCCCTCAAAGAAGTGCTAAACTTACTTTTACAATAATTTCTTCGTTTTGTTCCATCGTGTTGCGTACAACTCGTAGTTCATTTTCTTTATCACGGATTAGGGTCTAAAATAGAGCACATACGATATTTTGTTTGACATCGTGAAACATTTAGGAATTAAAACTAACTTTATTTACCTCATAGTCAACAATACCCGAATCGCTTGGTGAGGGTGTGACATGAAGGGCAGAAACGCGGCCAGACTGTTGATACGCTTTCTATAAAAATATTAGATTGAGTTAAGAAACATATAGCTACGCTAAGCAAACCTTGTTCGTGCTTGGAGGACTGGATAACTGACTTCCAGAACTGTGCGTACCACTAGACACTGTTGATGAAGACATTTTTGTGGGTGGATGAATGTGATGATAGGAACCGTAATCAGAAGATGAACCGACTGAAATGTGATTTATTGTTTGCCTTTCAAATTTTTTTGAAGAGTCAAATCTAGGATATTGAATCCTTACAGCACAAAGCAAGGAACAAGAAGATAAACTTGCAGTCTGCTTTCTTTTAAAAATAACAATATATAACATAATGGGATCACACTCACAGTCACTCAGCTTTTCTTTTTCAATATAGTCGGGAACTGTGTCGTACTCGTTCTCTTGTGGCTTTTGCGAAGTGAAGCTGAATTTCATAAATCAGTGATAAGTCTTAACTGATATGACCTCAACTAGTAAAGGCTGCAAGTTTGCAGATGGATATAACATTGCCCTTATTGGATATAGCATTGCCATGCGGCTTAAGTAGTTTCAAACATTTCTC